AAGAAGATTTCTTTTTTTTTTCATGTTCATACCATGAAGTCACTGGGGTCCAGTGTTGTTTGAAGTGCATGGGTTAAAATATCTTCTTTTGTGTTTCTTTGCAAAAGAAAGCCATACAGGGATGGAACAACATAGAGATGAATAAATGACTATCCCTTTAAAACATTGAAACTGGATATTCTCAACAGAGAAAGTGAAAGGTTTTAGTGTTTTGTCTACAATATTTAAATTTAGCTATGATTCAGGTGCATTTTTGTTTGCATTTGTGGGCTGAAGTTCTTGCTTTCATGTTGTATTGTCATGACATGGCTGATTCTGTCTAGACTATGGCTGCACGATAAATCAAAATGAAATCGAAATCGTGATTAGGCAGAAGCTGCGATTGTCATGCGTATCTTTCAGTGAAGCACGGTTCTGTGATCAGTAGTAAATCTTCATCCAAAGGCCAGAGGGCGGTCTCGCGCGGAAACTCCAAATACGCCTTGCAGAAGAAACCCAGGAAATATCTATAGCGGTTGCTGAATAAACAGAAGATTTAAATGCTTTAATTGATTCAACGTGACTAATAAACACACGACTACGGCAATATATGGTTTATCTGAGTTCTTATTATTGTAATTTTCATTATAGTAAAGAATATCTATAATGAAATTCTAATCGACATAGACTTTATCACTGCTTAGAATACTATAGGTGCGTCCCAAATCGCGTACTTATGCACTATTCTATGATGTTTTGTAGTATAAATTGTGCGAGTAGTGCGTTCACACTGAAAATTCTAAAAAGAAAAAGTGCACTTTAAATACCCGTATGATGCACTTTAATAACCGAAAAAACGAAGTGTGGAATGTTGGACACTTCATGCACTCAACTGTCGCAGCTTTAATTTCGTAGCGAAGGGGGAGGGGCTATCAGACTTTGATTATGAATGACAGAATAACCTTATATAATTCATACTCTGCATGGCTGAGTACATAGTGCAGAAGTATAGTGCGTCATTTGGGACACAGCTTATGAAATACATTGTGTGCCTTATTCTGTGTAAGAAGCCACATTATCACACAAAAGGATTTATTTCAAACACTCAGCTGACGTTATGAAGTGAGTCTGGAGTAAAAATCTGTTATTAAATGTGGTATTTTCACATGCTTTCAGATGGAGCAGCATTTACTACACAGAGCCGTAGTTCAGTGAGAAGCTACACAAACAGCTGTCATTATCGCGAACGATTTCTTTGATTAATCACAGAACCAGCTTTGCTGACAAGATGTGCATGACAATCGCATTCGATTAATCGTGCAGCCCTAGTCTAGAATTTGTATTTGTCTGTGGCATTGTGGTACAGTAATGACTCTAGATAGGTTAATGTTGATAATACTGCAGGAACATGTAAATCACAATGCTTCTAATACTCAAAGCACCACTGGTTTTCACTGTATAACGTAAAATGCTAACTAAAATGGAACATGTTTAGCTATTCTGAACATGTAGTATTGCCCACAGCATGTGTGGAATACCCTTGCATCAGTTTTCATTTTTTATAAGACGGAGGAAGTGAGTCAGGAAAGTGCTGCTGTGTAGGAGGCTGTGGTGTCCTTTCACTGAGTTTCAGATACACAGAGCTTCTCTGCTGCCCATAGTGTTACTTCAGAATGATTGTGGAGCTCCTCTGAGTGTCCATGTGAAAGACTGTGTAAAATTATTCACATTTTTGCCTTTTCCTTTTTGGTTTGATATCATTAACCCAACATTCTGTTGCTGTTTCCCAGACGCCAACCGTTCTGTGCCCTGCGGGCGTTGGAAATAAAAGCACAAAGGGTTAATGCTTCATTAGTTGACCTACAGCTGACTAGTCGATTAGTGAGTTGTTAAAACCCTCTCAGACAATTCATCTTCTTTAAAGCACTATTCAGACAAATGTCTTTGGCTGTTGCGTCATGTCTTATTCTGTTATTTGGGCATCCCACCACAAGCGATGTGTTTTAAGACACTTAAAAATAGTCTTAACCTTTGAAAATGTGTCTTGAGACCCATGCATTGTGTTCAAGTGACACTTCTTTTTGGCACTTGGTGAGAGATTGTCTGATATGGTGTCACTGTAGCAATTTAAATGTACATATTTGCTGACATTAAAGGAGTAGTTCACCCAAAAAATATCATTCTCTCATCATTGTTATTTACTTATTTCATGTTCCAAATCAGTATGACTTCCTTGATAATGTAAAGCACAAAATACTTCTGTGGTATTTTGTAGAATTCTTTTATTCATTTTTGAGCTTACAATTAAAATCCAGTGTTGTTTTGGACCCCGTAAAGTATGCATGGACACAAAAATATTTTTGTGTAGCATCTTTTGAAGAAAGAAGTCATAAAGGTTTGGAACAAGACACACCTTTAATTTATGAGTGAATTATCCATAGTCTATAACTACTAGTAACTCTAGTTGGGGTAGATTAGTTGTGTGTTGAAATTTCCTGCTCGGGGGTGGTGCGATTGGAGGAGATTGCATTAGATAAAAATGTGGTTTGTATGAATTTGAAGTTGTACATGGGCAAGCTTGCTTTTTCAACATTGAGGTCAACATGTGGGATGTATTAAATGTCATGCCGTTCCTCTCTTGGTGAAGGGGCTCGTTTGATGTGCCTTGTCATCGGATTACAATATGATAGTCATAACAGAGGCAGAACTGGGGTTTACCTTATCCATGGCAACATGGAAATACGCCCAGTATTATTTCTGGTCTCGTAATCCTCTACATCTTCAAGTGACTTATGAGTTCACCAAGCTTCACATTATACCTTTTTTTTACCTGTCTACAGACCTCAGATTTCTCTTTTTTTCAAACACACTGTATCTTAGAATCCCAGCTGGCGTGACACTGAGATCGGGTTTGATCATTTCTAATTCACAAAGAGGAAACGAGTTGATACCAAAGATGTGAAAAGTAGCTTTTACATGAGACTAAACAAGTGTGTGTTCGTCATGATCAGCTCTGCCATCTGAAGCAGCCTGGTAAACTCTGGATTATGTCATTTGTTTACGTCGAAAGGCAAGTGAATAAACAAGAGTGACACTACAGTATTACATACTTGCAAGATTTTAGCACCTGCTTATTAAATGAATTAGTAGCATTATGAGATTGTTTGTCATTTGCTGCCACATGTTGTTTATTTATATTTAGTGCAGTTCATTTCTTAGACCTGCACAGATGCGACTGTAGAGGCGGGCAGATGGGATGTAATGTGAGAATGATCAGTTCCTGTTGTCCTGCCTTGAAAAGCTCATGTTGCCCTGTTTCTCTCCAGCCCTGTGAAAAGAAGATACTCTGTGATAATGTGGTGATCAAAAATGCAGTTTGATTGGAGGATTACTATGAGAGCTGCAACTAATTTTGATGATGATCTGTTGATTTTCTGTGATAAACTGGAAAAAATACTTTTATATTTATAATTTTATTGTGAAAGTATGTCATCATCATTATACAGCTTGACTTATGCTCTCCGTCAAACAATCTGCAGATTGAAGGCTATTCCAAAAAAACATTTTTTCCTTTGAACAGACTTGTCTTTCTTGTGATGTATGAGACCACTCTTTATTTTTAGTAATCTTATATTAGTCACAAAAATATTGTTGGGTAACCTTCTCACAATACTAAGGCTATGTCCACATGAAGCCAGAGCTTTCCCTATCCAATCTTTTTTTCCCCCTCGTCTCAAGAAATATCTGCGTCCACACGAAACCACAAAACGATTTAGTATACATGCCAGACCAATATGTGGCACTGTAATTCTGCCACAGAGATACACTGAAAACGGAGAAGGAGACTTCGACTATGCGCATAAACCTTGCGCACGGTATACAAATGAACATGGAACAATTTTTATGCGATACAGCTAAATTTATGCGTATACAGCTAAACGCGTCTCCATGTGGACAGGGCCTTAATTTTCACCAGAAACATTTCACAATTCTTACCACAGCAAAAAACTAATATACTGTCCTGGGTGTGTGTTTGTACGTATTTTTTTTATAATGATATATTATATTGTATATTAAATATTATAAATATAATTATGTATTAAAATTTAATTTATTACTTTGGTGGCAAAACATAATTTTCAGCATCAGTACTCCAGTATTCATTGTCGTATGATCCTTAAGGATTCGTTCTAATATGCAGATTTTTAAAATTATTATCAATTTTGAAAACAGTTGTGCTGCCGAATTCTTTTGTTGGAACTGTGATGCATTTTTGCAGGAGTCTTTGAATCATTTATTTGAAATAGAAATATTTTGTAATATTATTAATGCCTTTATTGTCACTTTTGATCAATTTAATGCATCCTTGCTGAATCAAAGTGTTATTTTGTCAAATAAATGAAATAAAATAAATTGCTGATCCCAAACTTGAATGGTATTTTAAATCAGCGTTATGTTTGCTTCAAGTGTTTGTCAACTAAGTAATATGGAACAAATATGGTCAGTAATATGGAACAAAATGCTTGGACACGTTATTTTGCTTTGTTTAATAATGATATCAGTGGTTAATCAGTTACATACATTGATAATACTTACATTTTAATGAAATGTTCTTCTAATGAAACAGTCTTTCAAAGCATTTGGCAACCTGACTGTGAAAATATGCTGATGATTTTCTTGGAGGCATTGAATATAGAAAATGTAAAATAATAAAATGCAAAACAGAAGCATTTTCACTAGCAGTGTATGATTTCCGGATGATTTCTTTGTGTGTATGAAACAAAAGCATTTGCTTTTATATAGGCCTAAGTAGCCGTTGCTTCAAAATTAACTAGATACTGGGACTTAAACTATTTAAAGGCCACAAAGAATTGGTAAAGATTTGATAAACCACAAGTGTTCCTTCCTTAAGTCTGTGTGGTATCATCTCTTTATGTGTGCTGATATTGTCTTAGCCATGATATTCAGTTTCTGTTCCTGCTCCAATTGTAACCTCTTATTTTTCTTCTTCTCTTTCTCAGGCGTGTGAAAGATGGTGGACCGCTTGGCGAACAGTGAGGCCAACTCTAAGCGCATTGGAGTCGTGGAAGCATGCTTTGGCACAGCAGGTCAACCGCTAGCCATCCCAGGTCGAGTGCTGATCGGAGAGGGCGTTCTCACAAAGCTGTGCCGCAAAAGGCCCAAAGCCCGGCAGTTCTTCCTCTTCAATGACATCCTGGTGTACGGCAACATCGTCATCCAGAAGAAGAAGTACAATAAGCAGCACATCATCCCTCTGGAGAGCGTCACCATAGACACGGTAGAGGATGAGGGCGACCTGCGCAACGGTTGGCTCATTAAAACGCCCACCAAATCCTTCGCCGTCTATGCCGCCACAGCTACGGAGAAGTCTGAGTGGATGAGCCACATCAGCAAGTGCGTCTCGGACCTACTGGAAAAAAGTGGGAAATCTCCCACCGGCGAGCACGCGGCCGTCTGGGTGCCTGACTCTGAGGCGACCGTGTGCATGCGCTGCCAGAAGATGAAATTCACCCCCATGAACCGCCGCCACCACTGCCGGAAATGTGGCTTTGTCGTGTGTGGCCCGTGTTCGGAGAAGAAGTTCCTGCTACCCAGTCAGTCATCCAAACCGGTGCGGGTGTGCGAGTTCTGTTACAAGCAGCTCTCCACGGGCGGCACCCTCCCGTCCCACTCAGACTCCTACAGCCGTTCTGAGTTTTCCAGCAACAATATCTCAGACGACGACGATGATGATGACAGCAGTGACTGAGGGTCACTTTTAGGAATATTGACCATCTACAGATCATATCCCATTATTTTAGTCTAATTTTCATTCAGGGTGTGCAAAGGTTCTTGTGGCAATAACACCTTCCCAAAACGATTAAAGGCCCCTGTGCATATGAACAAAAGGTTTGATGGGAATTGTACCTGACCTGTGTATTAATGAACACTACTTGTCGGCTCGCTCTACTTTCACATTAAAGTCACTCTCATAGTCCATTTTAACCTCTTTCATATAAATGCATTTCTTGGTGCTCTTTCATCTTCTTTTTTCCCCTTTTCCTTTTAGCTACCGTATCCTTACTGAGCAATGCTGCTATCCGCTGGAGGAAGAGAATGTTGGGTAATGTGATTGCGGGCTGTTCCTAGGCATACACTCCCTCAGGTGAAACCGTGTAGTGCATTATAACTAGGTTTTAAACAAGGAACTGCATTTAGTGCTTTGAACAACTAACCACTAACAAACCGTGAAAGTGTGCGTTCAGGTGAAGGTCTTCTGTTTCTCACTTTGCTCAGTTTCTAGTAATTGCAAATGACAAATCAGATAGACGCTACTAAGCTTGTAAATGCGTGTATATAATGCTGTGGTTTAGGAAGTCTGTTGGAAAATTAATCTGACAAGGTCGTCGCTGCCTTAGTGCCTTCTTATTTATCTTCAGGATCCTTGAAATGAGAAACTATTTATGACTTGGGCTGATTTCTTCACTTTGAGACACCTGCCTTCGTTTGATGGCACATCACATGTCGTATTCTGTTTAGAGGTGCACAGGTCCCATTCAGTGACCATTTTTATTCATATGACTGTAGTTATGATCAAAACTAGACCAACAGTTTCAGTTGAGGACAGTCGATTATATTCTCAGTCCGAATAGCTTTTGGACCGGATTTCAACTCTATACATATATACACATTAGCATGCAGCCCACAGGAATCGCACTAATCGTCACAAAGGCGAAGGAAGCGCTATCCTTTTCGCCCGCTCTCTCTTATTGGGGTCTTTGTGTTAGAGAAGTCACATGTCGGGCCTTGACAGTCAGTCCTAATCGTTTTGAACGGGAATCGAAAGCATTATGAGGAAGCGACTGTCACACAGCCACCTTGTTTCCAAAGAAGCTGCTAAGCGGGTAATTTTTTTACCTCTACACAAGTCGAGCTGGTGGGAGAATCAGCTATACTGCTTGAGAACTGTCTCTCAGTACTGAATACTTGATCACCTGTGTAGATGGCATATTTTGTTTGTGTCAGAATAACAAAACTGACATTGAAAAGGGATATTTAATGAACCTAACTGGCTAAAGAGCCCGCTCAGACTGTCTAGTTTATATGCAATGACAGATACACTTAAGTCAAAAGTATTTTTTTGCTTTTATACATTTATGTGAGACTTATTTGAGATTTAGAAATAGGTTTACAGTGATTGACTCAAGGTAATTATCTAATCTTGCTTTTGGAATATAACGTTAGATTCCAGGTTATATTTGGCATAATGTTTGATTTAATGAATTGTTTTAATCATTCCAAATCTAACCTGAAGATTATTTGTTTTAATTTTACTTATATGTTGTAATATTCTGAGATGATTGTTTTGATTTTGCATGTTGTAAACCTTTGTACAGTTTTTTTTTTTTTGTATATTTACTCTTAGTTGGGCTTGCTGCTTTTTGTTTTTTTTCTTCATAGCGTTTCCGTGTGGTTCATGTGTGCGTTTCCTGAACACCTCTGGATCAGCTACCAGCACTTTACTCACTCTGCAAACCACAAGAGAGGGGTGGGGCCTGGTTGGGGGAGGGGCTTGGGTAGGATGTGGGCAGGGACTACATGTCTTTACAAATCTGACCTGCAAATACAAGAGAATAGATCTGAGTAGAAGATAAACAGGATTGGCATTTACTTTTCTTTTGTGATTTCTTGAACATGTAATTTATGAGTCCCTTGTTCTTGGATGAATTTTGGGGGATTTTCTGTTTCTTGTACATTTTTTGCCATTTTTAATTCTCATTTAAAACTCTGAAAGGGCTGAAAACTGAATGTAATCCATCATATCATCATTATTAGATACTAATTCTGAGGAAAATATATGCATTGCTTAAACGCTTGTGTCTTGTCTTCTGTAATAATTGCCAAATACAAGTACCAACGGCTCATCTTATGCAACAGAGACCATTAATGTCACTGGAAGTAGGACTTACTAGGATCAGAAACAAACTGAACACTTACACAGTGTTAGGCTAGCCTGTCATTGTGATGGATAATCTGTCTGCTGCAGTTTAGTCTATTTGTGTCAGCCTTTATATGGTAATCCATGCCACGTGCGGTAGTATGGTAAGGGGATTGCTCTTTCACTGGGGTTAATGTGCCATTTATAGTCTTTATTTGACATGATTCCTTAGTTTGTTTGATTAGCATTTGTTCTGAAACTTTTGGCCTATAATGGTCACAGAGGTCCCTAAGGTCTAGCTCTATATTTAGAATAATCAGCTTTAAGGAGTCAGAGTTTTATGGTGTTAATGGCGCTCTTTTGGAACAAACCACTAAAGCCTGAAATACAAAAATCACACATTTATATGACGCTGATGGACAAGCATGGAAATAAATGGGTTGTTTAATCCATTCATTTGTGCTGTGGTGTGACATGACTGTCAAAAATATTCAGTCATTTGCCACACAATTCCTTCATCGAATTGACAGTCTGGATTTTTAATAGAGGTGTGGGGTGGTGCGCTTAATCCCTGAAACGTTGTCAGATTTGTGGGAAATTTTAAATGACTCTGACCACCAGACCGTAAAGAATATTTGGGAGTGTTTATATCTGTAAAAGGTTTCACTGCAGATCATTTTGCTGGTTAATAACCTGTTGGGACTGTTCGTTTCTCAGAGGGCCCTCGGCTGCAGATGTTGAACCCTTCTGCTCTGCACGTGGATTATGCTGCTGATATAAGCGATTAAATATCACGTGCATGTCACGACGCAAGAAAAATCTCCGTAGTACAGTTATCAGTCTGGGAATATCTAGGGTTAAAACAAGTTTAAGCAGGACATTTTACATGCTAATATGACCTTTAAACTTTTGGAAAACAAAATCAATGGCTTAGCGTAGTCCTGCACACATTATAACTGACCATAACCAGAGTAATCTTTGGACTTCTGTGCTAATACACAAGTAAAACTTTACATATAATCACATGTAAGACTAGAAACAAGATATGCACACTCTGCTGGTGTTGAACATATTTTAAAGGACCATTAAGATTATTAAGCACTCTAGGCTATCATGACTAGTGGGGAATGTTGTATCTGGATTCTGCAGTCACATGGTCTTCTCTCATAAATCATTTGCCCTTTGGTTTTCAGTCATGGTGATTAAAAATTAAGAAGGTGCCATTGTGAAGAGAGAAAGCAAACAAAAGGAACGACAAGTGCTTAGTTTTTGTGAACAGAAGATGTCAATGTATTCAAAGTAAAGTTCATTTAACTCACTCTTTGAACTGTAATATTCTGTATATTCTCTGTTCTCTTCTAGAACAGAACTCGAAGGTATCCAAAACATTTTGGTTTCCAACATGCATCAAATGATCATCTTTTGTGTTCCACAGAAGTAAGGTTTGACATATAGGTTTGTAATGACATGATGGTGTGTAAACGATGACAACATTTTCATTTTTGGGTGAACTGTTCCTTTAAACAGTTCACATAAAATTACAATTCTGTTATTGTTTACTCGCCCATATGTATGACTTTCTTCCATATCAAATGACTTTTCTTCCATAGGCCTATAACTTTCTTGTATGACTTTCTTACATCAAACACAAGGTTGATGGTCACATTTTTAGTCATGTTTCAAGAGGACAAAAGTATTAGTAAAGTAGTTTCGTCTGCAGGCGGGAAAAGAGTTAAAGGGGTCATATGATGCTTTTTTAAAGATCATTATTTTGTGTATTTGGTGTAACAGAATATGTTGACATGCTTTAATGTTCAAAAAACACATTATTTTTCAAATACTGTACATTATTGTAGGTCCTCTATGCCCCGCCTCTCTCAAACGCTTCGTTTTCTACAAAGTCCCTTCTTCCGACAAGTGCAGTCTGCTCTGATTGGCCAGCTGACCCAGTGCATTGTGATTGGCCGAACACCGCAAGCACTAGTCAGAAATGTAACGCCCCTTACCATAATCGCAAGCTTCAAGGTTAAGACAGCTGACTCCACTGTGATGTGATCTCTGTCTCTGTCTCTCTCTCGCACGCACGCACACACACAAACACACAATGCGCAAAACTCCGCATTTGAACAGTCAATACATTGATATGGTAGGCTGTATTCCAAATTTGAATAGACTGAAATTTAATACGTTCTCAAAATCCCAGTTGTGTTTTTGTGTATTCAGAATTGTCTTGTGGTCTGACGTCAAGGCGACAGGTTTGGTGTCGTATGGACTGCTTTTATGATACTTTTTTGTCCTGTGGGGAGGCTTGAAGACACCTGGTTTCAATATACTTTCATTAAAGAAGCATGAACATTCTTTAAAATGTTACATTTTTGTTCCATGGAAGAAAGTGATACAGAATTGAATTAGCTTGAAGGACGAGTAGGCCTAAAACGATGACAAAATTGGTGAACTGTCTCTTTAAGGACTGAATGCCTGGAGGAATAATAGTGTATATGCAATTCAAGTAGCTTACAAATTGTTAGTTATTGCAAACTCATGCAGTGTATAATGATATTCCAAGTCGAAGTTCGAATTGAATTTAGTCCTTGAGCTGAAAAATCCAAATTGAAAATTTTTGATACGCCTGCATAAGTTATTGAGCATCAGTTATTAAGTTTGACAGAATGCGCTTCTGGTATCAGATGAATTTCAATGAATTTGAGTTCAGTCTGTGTGTAGTTGTGGGTGGGAGGATAGAAACTCTTACAGAATGTCAGAATGGCTTAGAATCATCAGGACAGTTTTGCAGTGTGCTTCATAATGACAGCTAAAGTGCGCCCCCTGCTGGCACGGGACAGCGGCGTGCATTTTCTACTTCTAATTCTTATTCAATAATGGGGTGGCAGTCAACAATTGTACAGAAACTATCATATAAATATGGTCAAATGTGTATAGATCCTGTAATCATAATTTCTACTTGTCCAAAAGTTATAGAAACAAACTCTGCCACATAAATATTGGTCATGGATATCCACACTACACTCTTAAAAATAAAGTTTCCAAATAAGGGTTTCTATAGTTATGCCATAGAAGAAACATTTTGGGTTTCCCAAAGAACCTTTGAGTGAAAAATTCTTAACCAATTGGCTGAAGTTGTCTACACACTGGAAAAATACAATCGGACCAAAAAAGATCTATCAAAAATATCTATAATATCAATATGTCTTAAAAACAGACCAAGGAGTAGATGTTTCAGCCCATGCTTTCTTCAGTGCTCACGAGCACTGTATGCTTATAGTGGAAACTTTTGTGCAATGAAAAGTTTACATGGATGTTAAAGATTCTTTATGGAATCACAGATGCCAAAAAGAACCTTTATATTTAGGAGTGTGTTGTTTTGATGGAGATATTAGGCTTTTCCACTGGTACAACAGAAAATTGCTCATTTATTTTGCTTTACCTACTTCTGTTTTTATTTCTCATTGAATGTGCTACTTGTAGTAGCAACTGCCCAAATTGGATGTAGGTGCATTTTAAAGCAACATCAGTCCTTATAGGAAGAGTGGAGCCCTGTGCTTTAAACTATAATGATCAGAAGGAAAGCATCCACACACTGCAGGATATGAGGCTTTCGTCTGTGTGTTCTTGTTTAAAAATGCTGGGTGTGCTTTTGCCCTTTGTGTCTGATAGCATAATGCATGAGAGTAGGAGGAAGATCTTTTTTCCGTTCCTTAACAGCCATCATTACTATGCAATAGTCTGCTTTATGACCGCACAATTTAGAACTGGCTGGGCTTTCTGATATTACTTGGCTTTGTGTAACAAACGACCCCCGACAGCACTGCACAGGAGGCGTCATTTTTGAATTTTGATTGTTCCTTTATACTGGGATTTTTTGGCCCTTTTTGGAGCATGACAGCGCTGTGAACCGTCATTATATGGCAAAAGCTGTGTAACGATTGTTCAAAAATGTCTACTTTTGTGTTCCACAGAAAATAACAGCATATAGCCTTGGAAGGACTATTTTAAATTTGAGCTGAACTATTTCTTTACCATACGCTCCTTAGCAAGGGAAATATTTTTGACTGAATGTAATTTTTTTCCCTAACAGATAAAGTTGAAAGTTATCCAAAGATAATTGGATGTGAAAAATGTCAATTATTTCTGTGCTCTAGAAATTATTAGGCCATTTTAAAATAGATTCATGTGTTTTCTGAAGAAAAATAAGTGCTTGATTGCAAAACTCACCATAATACAAAACTTTAAAAAATTCTCGTAAACATACTTCATAAGTTATTTGTATGATGAGTTAATAAATAAGTATTAATGGAATTATACTCGAGCCACCTATGTATTATGCAATTCAATGTGCATATTCAATGCAATATGCAAAAACAATAATCTTACTATGTCTTCTCATTCACCATCCACCACAGTAATCACTCAAGTTATTCCATTTCCCAAAACCAAATTGCCATATTTTGAAAGAACAAACACAATTTTAAAGCAATTAACTTTCATGTAAAGCGTAAACCACTGAAACCTGTGAATAATGGTGTGGAAATTGCTTTTCATCAAGAAAATGTGATTGACTGTGTCACAACGCGGCAGTGCCCCGCTGTGTGGCTTTTTTTAGAGATGAAGTCTGAAAAAAGGAATTGATGAAGAAGAAGAAGAAAAAAAAAAGCTCCACAGCTGCGTATCCATCTTATCAAAGGCAACACGTCTTGTGTAAGAGAAATAGTATTTACAGAAATCTAAGGGATTGAAGGTGTGAGAAGTGTTGTATTGCTGACATTCTCATGCATTACGCATCCTAACTGGCTTTACAATTGTGCACCTATTACCTTTCTGATCTAAACCTCTCTGCACTTTGAACCAACAAAATAATGAAAATGTATTGTTCCACAAATGTGGGCCTTGAATTTGAAGGAGACATCTGTGATGT